TAATAAGCATCAAACCCCTCTTAAGGCGGTAACTGGTGGGGGGGAGGGGGTTTTTTTTTTTTTTTCCCCTTTTTTTTTTTTTTTTTTTTTTTTTTTAAGATGACCGGTAAAGGGATGTGAGCCATGGGCCGGTCCACTTTCCCGTATTTTGGGGAAATCCTTTGTTGTTCGTGCAGTGCTGATAACAAGGCCATGGGTTCGGATCCTATATAGGGATGGCCGGTTCACTCACTGGCTGAACATGGTGCAGACAACACCAAGCCAAGGGTTAAGATCCCCTTACTGGTCATGTTTTTAAAAAAAAAAACCAAAAACCAAAAAACTTGTTCTATATATTTTGTACAGAGTTTTTGGTTATTCAGGCAGGAGGGTAAATCTGGTCCCTGTTACTCCATCACAGCCAAAAGTAGGAGTTGGGGGAGTGCTTTAGAGTATAGAGTTACTATAGCCTTGACCCAAAACCTCTACCCAAGTAATTCCTTTACCTGTTTCTGCCAGGCTCTTGACCCTACCACTCCACAGCATTAAAATCACTGTACCAAATTCAGTGGTCAGTTTGCTGCCCTCTGCTTACCTGACTTTTCAATATCATTCAGTGTAACTGTTTCCTCCTTTCTTCACTTGGCTTCTGGAATACCAGCCTCTTCTAGTTTTCCTTCTGCCTCACTAGCACTCATTAGCAATACAGTATTCCCGCTTTGTCCGAAGTTTTGCTTTCCATGGTTTCAGTTACTTGTGATCAACTGCAGTCCAGAAATATTACATGGAAAATTCTAGAAACAAACAGTTCATGAGTAGTGTGACGAAATCTCCCACAGTCCTGCTTTGTCCCACTAGGGATGTGAATCATCCCTTCGTCCAGTGTATCCATACTGTACATGTAGTCACTGACACCATGGCTCATTGATCCAAGATCACATGAAGCAGATGATCCTCCTTCTGACTTATCATTAGAAGGTCAGTAGTAGCTATCCTAGAAGAATAAACAGGGCAAATGGGGAGCACAGAGGAGTATTTAATTTAGCCAGGAGTTACTTTTATTTTTACAACTAGACTGTAGCTGTTTATGGGCAGGACCCAGGGCTTTCTCACGTTAGAGTTCCCTTACCTGATCCTTATTTGTAGTAGTTCAAAGGTAGTTCTGCAATGATGGAAGTGTTCTGTATCTGCACTGTCCAGTATAGTAGCCACTGGACATATGTGACTGTTGAGCACTTGAAATGTAGATAATGTGAATGGGGAACTGAATTTTTTATTTAATTTTGATTTAAAATACCACATGTGGCTAATGTCTATTAAGCAGTGTTGAACAGAAGAGATAATAAGTGTTTAAATTCAGCTTGTTTATGCAGAGGCTTAGGTGAGGCAGGTTATTTTCTCTGAATGGTTTTGGAGTTCAGTCACCTCATTTGAGTCTTAATTTCCCATCTTTCTTGTTTCCCATTTGTTAAAAAATGCAACAATTGCCACAATTTTAGAACATTTTTCATCACTTCAAAAAGAAACCCTGTACCCTTTAGCTACTATTTTCCTAAAACCCCATACCCTCAGCCTAAAGAACTCACTAATCTACTTTCTGTCTCTGTAGATTTGTGTATTCTGGACATTTCATATAAATGGAATCATACAATATGTGGTCTTTTGTGTCCAGTTACTTTCACAGAGCATAATGTTTTCAAGTTCTTCCATGAAGTAGGATGTGTCAGTACTTCATTCCTTTTTATGGTTGAATAATATTCCATTGTATGGCTATACACATTTTATTTATCCATTCATCAGTTGATAGAAATTTGGGTTGTTTCCACCTTTTGGCTATTATTAAAAATGTGGATATAAACATTCATGTACTAGTTTTGTGTGGATATATATTTTCTTTTCTCTTGGGTATATTCCTAGGGGTGGAATTGCTGGGCCATATGGAAAATACCTGTTTTTTTTATCATCTCAGTGAAAATATTACGCATGTGTGTAAGTTTTTATATGTGAATACCATTTTACTATTTTTGTTTTATGTGTCTTCCTTAGTTCCTATTCAGAAAAAAGAGTTATCTTAATACTAGAAGGAAGTAGGTAGATTGTTTTTATTACAAAACAATTTATTTAAAAAACTATTATGTTTCATAACATTTATTAATTTTTTTTAGCCTCATACAGGATGCTGTGTTCATTGCTCCTTTGTGAATGTCTGTTGCTGATAACTGGTTATGCTCATGATGATGACTGGATTGACCCCACAGACATGCTTAACTATGATGCTGCTTCAGGAACAATGAGAAAGTCTCAGGTATTAAAAAAATGCTTGTGTCGGGCCAGCCCGTGGCTCACTCGGGAGAGTGCGGTGCTGATAACACCAAGGCCCCGGGTTCGGATCCCATATAGGGATGGCCGGTTGGCTCACTGGCTGAGTGTGGTGCTGACAACACCAAGTCAAGGGTTAAGATCCCCTTACCGGTCATCTTTAAAAAAAAAAAATGCTTGTGTGTATGTGTAAGACCTTATCCTATGATGGAAATAGTCAGCTTTTGTTGTTATTGTTTTACACAGAGCTCTGAGAATCATGTATCAAGGACTAGCAGTCATGCAGAATATCTTCCTGATCCTCTGTTTCGAATTTGAATGTAAAGCCCATCAAAAGCAAACTAATTTGATTTTAGTTCTTAGTATGTACATTTGAGACTTTTTCTTTTTTGGTGGTTCAATACAACTGAAGAATGTAACAAGCAAAGCTATAAAATGAGGAAGTCAAAATTTTAGTTTTTGTTAACTGAATGTTGTTTTTACAACTGAACTGTAAAGAAATAAACTCTCTACTTTGTTTTAGGTGAAATATGTTAAATCAGAGAAAAAGGATGTCAGTTCTGACTTGTCATATGCTGATGAAATGTCAGAATGTTATCGCAGACTTGATTCTTTAACTCATAAGGTTAGATTTTTCCATTCATAAGTTTTGTATTATTTATATTAAGTTGCTTTCTTCTTTTGTCTTTGCTAGTATTATTTGTGTCTCTAATGTTTCTGTGTACTCCATAACTTATATATATAAAATTTTCTTTAGTTACTCTAGCCTTGGTTTTCCTAATAGTACTTTGTATTTTTCTATGATAACATTTATCTCACCATGTTGTAATTATTTCTTTACCAGACTGTAAACTTCTTGGTATAAGGAATACATTTTATTCATCTTGATTCTTTATTACCTGTCATACTGCTGGTGAGGCATAATAGACTCCAAACAAATGTAGCAAATGAGGAAAAGGGCCTATCACCAGCTTGTAAGCGTTACTCTTCAAATATAAAGGATTGTTACAATATAGTGTGTGGTAGCTATTCATTCCTTCCTTTATTCAATAGTTTTTTAATGTGGCTGAATTAGGGCTTATACAAAAAGAAATAAGTCAAGGTCCTTTAGAGGTTTGAAGTTATTCATTAATTGCTGTGGGAACCTCTGTTGGTGGTTTGGGCAGGGTGGACTGGTGGCAGTGTGGAGGGGGCCTGGAATGGAGGGGGCAGTGGCAGTGAGATGGGTGGGGTTGCAGAGCCCCAGCAATGCTGAAGGCTTGAGATGAGGCAGTGATGGGTTGACGAGAAGAGGCAAGCGCTAAACTTTTACAAGGTTATTGTATTCTGGCAAGTGTTGATAGCTGAGGGATGGATAAGGAATAGGGGAGAGCTAGAGCAAAAGAGTGAGATTTCCAGCTTGAAAGATTGGGAGAGTTGTTAATTGAGATCCAGATCCTGTATGAGTATATCTCAGTTGAGATCTATAGCTTGTGGTTTTTATCATGTGTGTATGTTGTCTCACCTGAGTGCTAGTGAAGACATGATTGGATAAGATTTGCTTCACTTTAACTGTTTTATTATATAGTGAGCTAGTTTGGTTGTACAGTAGAAATGCAGAAATGCCTTTTATAGGAATTTTTTATTCCAGTGTTTGTGACTTTGGTTCAGACATTCTATAAACATGATTGGTAAAATGGATTCTTGAATCCTTGTTTAAAAAAACAAAAATTATTTATTTTTAAAAATAAACTGGTGTGTAAACCTTGTAGCAGAAGAAACGGCTGCATGACTTCTGTATCCTTCTATCCTAAGTCAGTGTGTTCTTCTCAATTATTGTCATGTTTATCAACTGAAGCCCATTTTAGTGCTCAACTCATGGTCATACTCAGTTAAAAAGAATACAAGTTGATGAATACAAAGTTATTTTAATGTTTGTAAAATATACACTGCCCTCATTCAGTGACTTGACCACTGTGATAGAGCTAAGTTCAGAGGACGTCTGTTCTAATGGAGAATTAAGTACTGAAGGGTTGCCATGTATCAGATAAGCCATCTGGAGAAGCCATGGTTCCTGTCTTCCTGAGCATCCCATATAGTAGATGATCAATTGCTGATGAAAAAAGAAGAGGCCAAAAGTGATGTGCACATTCAAGAAATTCTTTGCTGTGTCTTTTATCTCATTTTTTAGCTTCCTCTCTCTCTCTCTCTCTCTCTCTCTCTCTCTCTCTCTCTCTCTCTCTCTCTATCTCTCTCTCTCTCTCTCCCTCTCTCCCTCTCTCCCTCTCTCCCCCCCTCCCCCCCCCCGTGTCTCTATCATGTATATATTTATCCTTCCTTCTCTTCCTTCCCTCCTCCTTTCTCTCATTAAATTGTCACTTTGGAATTAGAGGCAGATTGGTCCAGATGCCCTGCTTGTGGATCTCTGCCTCCTTGCTTCATGATCTTAACTTTAAAATTGTTCAAAGTCAGCAGAAACACTACCAGGTCATGGTAAGTACTTACATGCTTTCCTCATTTGTTGCCTAGTTGCCCTTAGCAAAGAGAACTCAGGGAAGCAGGCAAGCTGTACACTGTAATGCAGTTGGCAAATGCAAGCTTGATAAAAATAACCAGTTCCTTACCTTGATTTCAGTGGCACCACTAGCCTAGAAACTTGACCTTACTTTGACAACTAATGTTGAATTTATTGTATGATTACAGATTGATGAGTGTGAAAAGAAAAAGAGGAAAGACTATGAAAGTCAAAGCAATCCTGTTTTTAGGAGATACTTAAATAAGATTTTAATTGAAGCTGGAAAGCTTGGACTTGTGAGTATTTGGTGGTGTGATGCTAATCACAGTAGTGGATATTTTCATTATTTATTAATTTTGAGTTACATAAAAAGATGATAAAAAAGCATCATTATGCTTTAACAGAGACTACCTGACTCACCCTTTTACTAGAAGTTACTAATACAGGATTAAAGGTACTAGTCTGCTTTGCAGTGGTTTGGTAGAAGGCAAGCAGTGCAAACCAATCTTCTTTTTCTTATAGTTTGTGGGAATTAATTTAATCAACTCTGTGCATGCTGTATAGCTTAATTGAGGTGATAGGGTGGGTGATAATTCTGTTTGGATCTTACTTCTTGTTTTCTGCCATTTCCATACTTTCTTAATTCTGTAAGATCATTATATGTTGAGGAAAAGAAAAATATCTTTTAAGTAGTTTTTTTCTCCTTGCTATACTATGGCAAGTGCCGCTTTATAGAATTGTGTGTCATATGCATACTGTTCATAATTAATGCTAAAATTTTCATTTTTTAGAGTCACTGTTTTTACTTTGGGAAGTCAAAACATCAAGAAAACTTACAATTTAATAACATAACATTTATAAAGCTTATTTAAAAGCACATAGAGACAGCTCCAGGTTAGCTCAGTTGGTTAGAGCATGGTGTTTTAACACCAAGGTCAAGGAATCAGATCCCCATTCCAGCCAGACACTGAAAATAAAAAAATAAAAGCTCATAGACCTTTTTTTTTTCCTATTATATATGCCATCATAATTGGTCTAGAGAGGGCCGGCCTGTGGCTCACTTGGGAGAGTGTGATGCTGATAACACCAAGGCCACGGGTTTGGATCCCATATAGGGATGGCCGGTTCGCTCACTGGGTGAGCATGGTGTTGACAACACCAAGCCAAGGGTTAAGATTCCCTTACCGGTCATCTTTTAAAAAAATAATAATAATAATAATTGGTCTAGAGAGTTGGAGGCCAGCCTTTTGTCTTGGTCTGGCCATTAGCCCCAACTCTCAGAAGCAGTCACAGGCAGATCCCTGAAAATGAAAGGTTCTTGTATCAACACAGGGCTGGCTGGCTGAACTTGCCAGACTCTGTCCTCCTGGTACAGTGAGGACTGACCAAAAGGTAAGGGAGTGATGGGTGAATAATTTAATAATACCACCTTATTTTGGAAGTATAAAAGCTGATGTTCTCATATGTATACCCTCTAATTTGAGTCTTATAGCTTTGTGCAAGGTGGATCAGAACCTAGATGAGGAAACAGGTGGAAACAAAAAAATGCTTAAGTTGGAAATACTTCGTTCCTGATTTTTATAAAATGTTAATATCAATCAGTGACAGCTTTTTTTTTTTTTTTTTTTTTTTTTTTTTTTTTTTTTTTTTTTTC